CAAAAGAGGCCTGGAGTCATTGAATGAGATAAGATACATAAAGCTCCCGGCATGATGCCTGATGACTGGCGCCTTCCTTCCCTCCCTCCCTTTGGGGGTTCAATTCTCCAGAACGGCAGAGAAGGCTTGGCCAGGCGTGCAAAGGGCGCCCCCCATGCTGGTGCACATATACGCACAGTCTGTCCCACGAAGCACCTGATGCGTGCTGGGTGCAGGCACTGGGGCAGGCAGGAGGATGCCTGCTTGCTGGCGACCAGCCTATCCTGTCTTACCTCCTCAGAGGACGCAGGAGGCGAGAAACGCAGCTCATCCCTGAAACTCCCCATCCTGCTCTCTAGACCAGTGACTGTTGGTCCGGTCCCAGCCTCCCAGGCCGTGGCATCTCCAGCCACCTCGGCAGCCAGGAGAGCCCAGGGGACAGCCCGGCCCCAGCTTCGACCTCCTCGACCAAGGGGCACGTGTCCTATCCTTTAGGGGTTGCAAGGAACCTGAAGTCATCTAGCTCCCTCCGCCAAATTCCATCTGCGTTCTCTCCCCAAACTCCCCGGCAGTGGGGAAGCCCTCTCCAGGCAGGCCATTCCTCCCTGCGGTTCTGATGACCAGGAGGCTCCAAGAGGAAGCACCGAGGGAGGGCCGGTGAGCTCAGAGCCACCAGGGCAGGCCCTGCTCCCAGGACCGTGCAAGTGGCCTCCTCCCTGCAGAGGTGCGGCGAGAAGGGGTGGAGCCTTCCGCAGGGCCGGACCTTCAGCAGGGCCGCTCCATCTCCAGGCTGAGGGGAGCCAGGGGGCGGGGCTTACGGTAAAAGTGGGTCAAGATGGCCCCGGATTTGGGAAGCAGGGGCGGGCAGAGGGGACCAGCTCTAGGGGTGGAGTGGGCTGGGAGGGGCCGGGGGTGGGCAGGGAAGGGAGGGCACGGTCTCTGCCGGGAAACCAGCAGCCTGGACACCAACAGAGGAGCAGGCAAGGGTGGTAAGTCGTGGGCTCTGCAGGCCCGGCACTGCCCCCGCACCCCCAGGACAATTCACCGGCTCCGCCAACTCTGGCTGCAGGTGGGGGCCTGGACAGACTCCAGGAAGCAGGCTCCGTTCCGCACACACCGGGTGCAGCTGGGCAGTTCCCGACACAGACCCCCCCCTCCATTCCCCTGGCAGCTGCTGGCTCAGAGCTGGGGACACAGGAAGGTCCGACTAGAGGAGGCAGCGGCAGGGCAGGAGCCGGCGCGCTCTCGGGGGCTGCGCTGTAAAGGGCTATTGTGCGCCCGGGCGAGCGCGTGCCTCCCTTTGGCTGGGTGCGCCCAGGGTCGGGGACCAGAGTCCCCAGCCTGCCGGGCCGTGCCGTGGACAGAAAAAAAAACCGCACCGCGCACCCCCCCGACACAAAATTGTCATTTATTCTTGTTGTTGTTAGGAGGCAAAAAAATGTAGTTACAAGAATCATTTTCCAAACAGGTTAAATATGAGCTGAAAAGTGTAAAAACGGAAGAGGGGCATCACTTTACAAATCATTAAATTAAACAAACGGAAAACAAAACCCAAAGGACCAGCCCCCATGCTGAGTTCTCTCCTTGTGCAACTCTGCAAAACGAGAACAGAAAATGAGGTGGCCCGTGGAGGTGAGGGCCCGGGGAGGGGCAGGAGCTGGGAGCCAGGAACAGGCGGGGG